TGCATTTATCAGTTTGGGTCTACGTAATGTGACGAGATCGCACAGAACAGGAGATGCTGCTGTGTTTGCCCTCCAAGGAATCTGTTCTGGAATATTTAGGTCCAGTTATTCCGTACTGTAGTACAGTACATCTATATATAAAATTATTTAAATACATATATGACACAGCATAATGCAACATGCCACATTTCGTTATGCACAGGTCGAATATTTGACTTAAAAGAAAGATAATATTTGACTTAAAAAAAGGCAAAGTTGCCAGATAATACACTTCTGATTATGGCAGCCAGGGGAAGATTATCAGAAACACCAACGGGGCAAGTGTGAGATGAGGAAAAACTACCAGTGTATAAATCACTTTGTTATATGTAAATCATTTTTCCCCACAATAACTATTACTCCTATACTTCTGTAAATTTTTTGGCACTTAAAAAGCATGAAGCGACAAATGCGGATTTATGTGATTTCCTGAAAAATGTATTGCTTTTGACAGCAAAACTAACAGATTTCATGATTAGCTGTGGGCAAAAAAAAATTCGCTGATGAGGGATAAAATTATGAGGCACAGTGGGAATTAGCGAACAGAAGGGAAATGACAGAGGAGGATCATGGATGATCCATGAAATTTCATTATTATGCCATAACATTTAGCCGTACTGCGAAATGTGCAGCTAGCTTTGTTTAAAAAAGAGGAATCTGAGCACAAATGAAGCCATCGGCCCTAATTCCATAGTCAATTAACACAGCTCTATGTTGTATAGTTTCATCCTGGAATTACAACCTTTGAAGCCAAATGGCTCGTTATTCAGCACATTAAAAGGAGACAGCTAAGATTAATCAAGATATGTGTGTATTTGTTTATGTAAGCGTGTATTTATGTGTGTGCTTATGTACGTACGTACGCATGCGTGTTTGTATGTACGGATATATGTGTGTTTGTGTAGGTAAGCGTGTGTTTATGTATGCGTGTGCGTATGTATGTATGCACGGACGTACGTATGTAAGTATGCATTTACATATGCGTGTTTGTGTGTGCAAGCATGCTTTTTTGTATGTGTTTATGTAAGTACATATGTATGTATATACGCAAGTATGTATAGATGCATGTATTTGTGAACGTAAGCATCAATTTATGCGTGCGTTTGTGTACGCACTTACGTATGCATGTATGTAAGCATCTATTTATGTGCGTGTGTATATGTGTGTATGCATGTAAGTATGTGTGTCTATATGTGTGCATTTGTGTATGTAAGCATGAATTTATGCATGTGTTTATGTACGTATGTATTATGTAATCATGTAAGGTTCCAACACAACCAGGTTGTTTCATGTTCATAGTCTGGACCAAAACGAGAACACCGTATGCACGGCAACTAAATTCTCGCATAATTAAAACGAATTTTATTTTACCTCTTCAACTTTTCTTTAATCTCGGTTAGAATCTTCTTAAATATATAATGCATGCATCTCGGTTATTCCCCTTTTCTCCTTAAAATTTCAAACCCGCATCATTCTCGGCTTTTAATTGTAAAATTCAGCTGAATATTGACTTTTGCTCAATGACTGCGACGTAGAGCGAATTAAAAGTAGTTTTAGATTTTTGGCCTCATGTATAATCACTGGCATTCCTGGCAAAATTTTATCACTTTTGATTTTTGAATAATAAAATTTGCTAATTTCAAACCCGTGACAATATGCATTTTGGCTGCTGTTACACAGCTCAAAATGCATAAAAAATGAAGTAATCACTGGCGACGTGGGGCATACGGTTCCGTGGGGGCATGCGCTTTTCCAGCATTTCGTGCTTAAGGTAGCGTGAAATTACAGCGGCTAGAATTTGTGATATACCGGTCCTCGAAGCTCGGGTTAATTGTGCAGCTATTTGGAACATAGACAAGGGACACTCCGTTACAATTTTAATTTTTCAACTTTTGCGGTTCCCAAGTTGGCGATTTACCTGTCAATGGTTTTCACGAAACCGCACGTGAAAACCACGCACATCCTGGGAGATGAATTGAAATCTATAAGTTGTACATGAGCTGGGAATATCGCCTTAAAATTTCACCTTTACAGCTTTCAAAAAAAAATAATTCCCACGTTAGCGATTTTCCCACCAAAAATTTTCACAAGCCACTTTCACAAGGCCGTACGCGGGGCCTAGACGTGTGTGAAAGTTGTTACCCTGGCCGTGAGATGGTATTTGGCGAGGGAGCCCACTGGCAAAATTTTTAGCACCGGAGCTTGCTTGGTTGCCGAGTTGAAACACCTGGACAGATACACAAACACCGAGGTCGTTACAATATGCTTCATTGTTGAGCAGTGCTATAGTTCTGCAACAGCGAGCAGAAAAGCATATTATCGAGAAGTCGTCTGTGCTTGTTCTTCACCAAGACTTTTCATCTAACAAATGGTGTGAAAAAGCACAAAAATTACTGCTTAATGCTTTCCTCCATGCTGAATTATAATCCTGGATCGTACTGCGTCAGTCAGTAATAGGTCAGGAAACAGAAGAGTTTGAAAATTAATTTCATGACGCCTTGTACAACTACTAGAAGCCTCAAAAGCCCATACTAGTTCCGGGACCAAAAAATTGACCTCACTCGAGGTCAGATTTTACGAATTCGATTTCAGCGAATAAAAGTGAATTATAAGCTATTTCACTCGCATTCAGTGGCTCATACTCGCTTCCATTCTGAATAAAAAATTTAAATTTTTAGCTCTATTGGCCATCGGTTCATCAATCCGGATGTAGAACTGGTGTCACTGATCAAACACAGCGCACCTATCTGAAAGTTGATTCTAAATTCACGACCTTGCATCGATTCCAAACTTGCAATTTTAGAAGTCGTGGCTTTTAATTGTTTCAACAGTTTCATCAGTTCTTTCTCAGTTATTCACGCTAAGTAAACTGACGCGTAATATAGACATGAAAATCATGCAGCACCCAATTTAAGCACTCAAAAATTTGCAATTTCTGTCCCGTTTCTTCACAACGACACAGGAAGCAGTCTTCTCTTTCTGAAAAAAAAAGCGTTTCCTGAATATAATGACAATTGTAACACTTGCTCACAATTGATCTCTTTGTTGACATAATGAGTGGTACCAACGAGAAAATAAACGACCAATCAGGCAGCTCCCGAACAGGTGGCGTGCCTAATCGAAAAAGTGATATTAATTGGAGCTATGCAACTCAAAATCGAAGAGCCTGACACAGCAGCGCCCGAAGCTTTGGAGCGTATCACTAACAGGGTTGTCTGTTCGCGCGACCTTGGTATTACAGGGCTAGACATGGGATACTTTTACAAGAGCAAATTGAAAATTTTATTTGAAAATCAACATTTTATTAAAAAACTGTCAGTAATAAATACGAGAATATCAAAACTGTCAGTGACGAATACGAAAGTACCACACTTACACAGGAGCATATTATATTTCTGATAAAAGTACAACATACTTAAATATCAATGCACTAGAATTTTTTGGAAAGAAACGCAAAAACAACCAGGATTTAACACATCTGTTCTGAAAAAGGCTACTTGCCTGTTCTCTTTTTAATAGGTTAGTCCACATACAAAAGTACACAGCTTTTATATTTCTGGGATGCATACATACTCAGAACGGCAGCTGATACATCTGCGCTAGCAGAATAATGAGACAGGCAAAATGTAGGAATCGGACGAATGAGGATGGAGGAACGGAGGAAAATGCCTGGAGAAAAGAATGTTTAAGAAAAAATAAAACAAAAGCACAAAAAAAGTTGAGCAAGAAGAATCCTACTTGGAAGTTACACAACGCGATCACAACAACGCAACAATACGTCGATGACACTGCGCCACACATCAAATTTGCACTCGTTTTTTTTTTTTTGCTCAGTCAGCCTTTCTCTAATTTTACATTTCTTCCAGTGGGTAGTTTTATTTAAAATGTAGGGGATCACCCAAAAAGCAAAGGATTTCCCCCGAAAAAAACTTGAACTCCTCAAAAAAAGTGGATTTTCGTTCCGCAAAACGCACACCACATCCAGCTGCTGCAAATTTTTTGTATTTCCGAAAAACAATTTGCCCCTTCTAAGTGTTATTTTTCTCAGCTTTTTGAGGCGCAAAGAAGAAGGCATAACGAGTATTTAATACGAAAAAAAAAATAAATCGAGTCGAGTATGTAGAATCACGGTAAAACACAGTGAGAGGATACGGAGAGAGAAGTATGACACCCGGAAATACTGCAGTGAAGCAAAAGTTTGAACTCACAACTCGTTCGGCAGGCCATTTACACATATATAACTGACTTTGACAAACAGTTTATTATAGCAACAAGTGATCATTCGATGCAAAATCCACTGAAATTCGATGAAAGTTGAAGAAGAGCACCATCTGTAAGCTTCAGCAAATTGTCGCTGCTTTGTCGACCGGAACCACAGAGAATTTCCCTTTGAGGACCACATACCTCCTAGGTCACTCTACGCAGGTTCGCACCTGAGGTGCGGAGGACTCAGAAGCTCCTACACAATTTCCTCCTAAAAAATCTGATCCCTTGGCGCTGTACCTCGTGGGGGATTGAGGAAGGTAAAGGAATATATAAGCAACTAAAATAATGCGATATATTTGGCACTTCGAAACAGCGAAGAAAAAAGAGAAAAGCCAGGGTCACTGGCATACTAATTATCGGTGATTCAGCTGCGATTATTGCAACCACAGAAAAGTTTCCAGTCGTGCTGGCTGCTCGGATGCGTACCAATAACAAAAGGATAAGTTTGTCTGAGCATCAAATTCTCTTGAAGAGTTCAGGTACTTCAGTCTTCTGCCCATTCGCTTTTTTTTTTACATTTGCTACAGTGTTTTACAGTTCTATTCAGCAAAGCGCAATTATAAAATTCGATACGGCAACTTGGATGAGGCAGGATGCCTACCTAAACAACCATTTGAGTGACCAAATGCTTAATCTTGATATGTCAGGAGCTTTTGGTATCGCGAAACGGAAATTCACGTAAATAATGCTACTCCCTAATAAAACAACAGTGGCGCCCAGAGAATAACGAATGCAGTTAATATGGACAACGAGGAACGATCTGTCGAGCCGGCTGCTGGTGGCTTTGCAATAACCGGTGGTCGAGTTGGTGGTCTTGTTTCGAGTCGCTGCTCTGTAACATAAAAAATTATTTAGCACTTAAATTCAGCTGATAATTTTCAGGGTTAGATCGCTGCGTTTTTGCACAGATCGTGATGCCGGATGGGAAGATCGTCGTCTGAATGTTTGAATTCTCATTTTCTTTTTTTGATAATTCCCCAACCATTTGTTTTTCAATTTATTTCGCTCAAATCATCTGATTTGTATGTTCTCATCATTTGGGCAAAAAATTATTTGATTGCTTTGTCAAACTCATAAGAACAAAGAATAAAATGCAAGGGTGTACATGGATAAACAGTGTGCATGAAGATTTTCTCAGCAAATTTAACAGTGGTTCATTTTGCAAAAGAGAGGAATAAAGACTAAATTGTGCTGCCAGTAGAAATCAAGTTTCCTTTTCTTTATCCCTTCACCCTCCCGCCTCTCGAATTCCGTTTTCGGCTTAGTCTGCCTTTCGGGCTGTTCCGGTCTGTGCTTCGTATCAGGAGATACGATCATTAGATGACACCGTAGTCACGGAGGTTTTTTTACGCATCACAGTGGCGATGAGTTGCCCATGGTCCATGCGCTTTCTGGAAACCGATGGGAAAGAATCATTTCAGGCTACGACGAAGAAACTGGTTGTGGATTATTTTATCACATCGTTAAGAATCCAAGCTTTGTCGACTTATTAGCTGCCAATTAAAACTACGTCTCCCCCATTAAAAAGTTCCTCTCGATGAGCAAGAGTGGTATGAGCTGATAACACAGTGACTGAACACTTTCAACGCGCGTTCGATCAGTTTTCGGAAAAAGAAAACGACTGAAATTTTTTCCAGCCGGCACAGCTGTATTAGTTAAGCAAAGGCATTTGAAACCTCCTTGAGCAATTTTGAGTTTCAATCATACAGTAAACGATAGTTTCTATATTCGTTCTAATTGGATCTCCTTCATGTTTTAAAGTGGAGTTCGTAGTTTTTATTCGCCCGTTTTCTGACAGTTCAGTTCTTTGCCCAACTTTGTCCCCAAAGTCTAATCATTTTTTTGTCATTCGACTTCCCTAAGCTTGCCTCTTCTGCATATAGGAGTTCTAGCGAGGTGTTCTTTTCTAGCTGTCTTTTTGCACAATCCGAGTTTTATTTTTTTACGGTCAATCACTTTTATTTATTTTTTTTTTTTTTTTGCAATACATTTCGCTGATCTTGTGGTGACTTAAAGCAGCCGACCATTTTCGGCAGTTGCTCAGTCACAAGGGACTGGCGACTGAGCGCCTAATTCTGTAACGAAAGAGGCATCAAAATTGTTCTCTGAAAGGGGAAAAGTGTAGAAAAGATTAGGAAAGAATGCAAAATCCAACCCGAGCGGAGGATTTTTGCAGTTCCGACGTAAAATGTAGCCGAGTCATACAAAAAATTATCGTAAGGGTGTTGAAATTAACTGAAACGAACCACATGCTAAAAAGTAAAAGTCTCGTATTAGTCAAATGCTGACTGAAATGCCCCGTTCAATCAAATGCAAAGCATTAGCAGGAAAAGAACACCTCTCTCCCAGAGTTTCATAAGCCAACACAGAAAATAAAAAATTTGGAGATTCTAGTTTGAAACTGACATTAAAAAGTTAGTATTTGATTTTTGGAGACGAAAGGTCCTGTCGATAAGCTAATACCGCAGATAAAAAATATTTCAATTTAGGTTAAGCGTACTAGTTGGTCTTGGCCCTTTGGATCATCGTTAACTGTTTTAATAGAAACCAAAATCTTTCGCTTAATGAACCACTGGACAAAACAGAATTTTTAAAAATCGTTCTAAAAATATGTGTAGATTACCTGTAAAAGTAGAGGTGCTTGTAGTAGAATCGAGAACGGTACGTTCTGTTTGCCGGACATCCTCGGCTGTGACGACTGGCACGATAGCATCATGAATACCTTCCGTATCGCCGGAACCTTCCATCTCCGGCACACCAGATCCCTCGCTGCCTAAATCTTCGTCATCGGACCATCCCATCATGTTATTGTTATTTCCGGAACCTTCAACATGGTCCATTTCCTAAAATTTAACCTCGTCAATAATTATTTCTCTTATTTTACATAAGAAACTGATCAAAACACTGCAGCAAAAAACAGCAGAGGGATGTAGTTCAATTTCATATAAGCTTTTGTGCTTTAAGCAAAACTAAATGCCCGGACAGAAACAGGGAATAAAGTTATTTCGATTTTTATGGAAGATCATAGTGAAAAGTGAATACAAATCTTACTACAAAATTGTCTACTGATTTTAAGAACTGAGGCACCAAACTAACACGACAAGAAGGATATTTGAAATGACAGCAGTTATCGAAGAAAAATGAAAGTTTTATTTAATTAGACCAAAAAAGTTGCAGCAAAAAAATGTCTGCCAAAAAAGGATGACACCTTTACAAAACTGGAGCTCTCGAAATATGATAAAAAATTCGGCTACGGCACTATCGCGTTTATTTCCTTCACAGCTGAGAATTAGCCCCTCCGGAGAAATGAAGATGGCGGCAGAAGTTCATAATAAAGTGCCTACAGGTTCCAGAATGTGCATGCAGTCGAAAATTCGAAATAAAAATTTTTAAAAAGAGCTAGCAGTATTGCACTGATCTTGAAACATATGTCTGTGCAAGAAAGTGAATGCTCTCTCCCTCGCCCTGCTCTCTTTCAAGGTATTGCAATCTTAACAATAACACCCCGAAGCAGATTTTTCAGAATTCAGACAGATGCACGAGTAGTACTATCTGAAGGCAGTATTAGTGCACCATGTTGGAGAAGAATTCGTAAAGAATTTGGACACCCAAGGCTGACAGAAAAAGATAGTAGTGTAGCTAGGATTCACTGGAGTAATGCTTTTGTAATATTTCTTGAAGGGCACTTTCAGCATTTTACGGAAAATGCTATTTTCATAAACATATAAATGAACACTTAAACAATAAAATTGTACTGACATTTGCGGCAAATATTTCGTAATAGAAATCACTAACATTTAAAGTGAAATAAAAAAATATTAAAATATTGGTAATTCTTTGAAAAAAAGGTAAAAAATTTTAATGCAGTTTCTAAAAAAAAGAGCACCACTCTTTTTCCTCTTCCGTCTTCCGCCTCACTCCCTTTCGCCGTCTCTTCTTTTTCCCTTGAGGAAATTAGTTATGTTCTGCAATTTAACTGCTTTAATAAGTTTGGAAATTATGATATACATCGCCATCGATATGTCAGGACACGCATGAAATGAATTTGATTGGTTTATGTGTTTCGATTTTGATGTCTCATTTACAAATATTTTCCAGAATTACTGAATTTGAGTTTTTGAGGAATGCCCAATGGAGGAATAATGAGATATACGACAGAATCGTATGTACCAGCGTTATATTGTATTGTGTGTCCAGGAAACTCCATTAATTTAATATTATCAAACGATTCTCTGACTCACGAATATTCAATGCTTCACTACAAAAGCGTTGCACTTTCGTCGAAGTAATTTTATTCTGCCGGTTTTTATATGTCATCAGCTTCTTGAAGTAGTCACAATAAAGGCTGTCACTTTCAAGAGTGGCAGGAAGGATGAGCGAAAAGGAAGGAGGCTTCAAGCTTGCTTTACTTCATTTACAATTGCTAAAACCGCATTTTGATAACACTTCCGTACAGGACAGTTGAAGTAGAAACGGGCAAAACAAATTTACAATGCTAAATTTTTGCTTTATTCGCTACAAAGAAAGAAGTGTAATTCAGAACAATAAACGATCTTTTTTTTCTGCTCATTCATTTCATGAGTAGAGTGGAATGGGAATCCAGAACCGGGTGAACAACTAAGGAATTAAGGGGTCAATTATTCAATGCAGGCTTTTAATTGGCTAATGTTTTTTAATTTATGCACTTTTAGCGGACTGTGGGAAGTGCGCCAGGATGGATCGAGTTGAGCCAGGATGAGCGAATTTTCTCGGGTAAGGAAGGTAGCGTGACGAGGTTTTTTCGCTCTCTTCCTATTATAGAGCTGTCTTGCAAGAAGAAATGTTGCATTCTTTCTCCCATGCGTACGTTTTTTTCGTCCTTGCACATTTTTTCGGGAAACATTCAGGCGGCGGTGCGTTTAGTTGTCATTCTCAGTGCCCCTACTCATCATACCTATCCACAAATATTATCAAATATGTTAATTTGATTGTAAATATGCGCGTGCATGTTTAGGTATGCAAGTGCATGTATTTATGTGTGTACATGTCTGCAGATGTATCAGAATGGCTGACAGTGATCGGGCCGGTCGTCATGTGGGTGATTCACTAACGCATTTAAGCAAGTCATTAGAAGGAAAAGGATGCTTACATTGTTAGCACTAATATGGCAGTAATGCTTGATCAGTGTTCCATCAGCCATTTGAAATTGGGAAAAAACTCATCCAAACACTTTCGTAAATTTATTACCATAGTGTTTACTTCCAAAGCGCTCTACCAGCCATTTGAAATTGGGAAAACTCATCCACTTTTATTATCATAAGAGTGATGATAATGGTATCGATAGCTACAGTAGCGATAATCATAGCAATAACAACCATAATGATAACAATAACCCAGCCTGGAACGCACTAGGCAAATCAGTGCGACCATGCGTTTTTGCATCAAACTTTGAAGTACCGTCTCTCACAGAGGGGGAATGGGGAAGAAAGAAGGGGGTTCCACATTATGCCACCATTCAGCTGAGAGCGAGATTTGGTCATTTGTTCGAGTCGGCGAATTAACGGCCCATCGCTACCCTGCACATTGACCAAGACAACTTCAACTTCCAAGCTTTCGCAGTTCTTGAGCTGAAGTGAACTATTTCTAACTACTGTTTCTAACTAGGTAAACTAAAGTAAACTATTTCTAACCTCATTTCTAACTAACACTGCATTTCGCTGTTCCTCTCCCCTCTTGAGGTGAACTATTTCCCCCTCATGCTCAGGCCAGGACACCAATGACGTGAGCGGGACCACCTCCGCACCCCTCCCGCCACCTAATTCACCGCCATTAGCAAGTGATGTGGATTCAAATTTGCCGCCCACCGTAACTGATCGTCACCGTACGTCAACGAGCCGCGACGCGTTTGGGACGTTGATACATCTCACTCATTTCTTATGCGCAACCACTGAGCGGTGGTTGTATCAAAATGAGATGCATCGACGTTGAAGGCGGTGATACATCCGCTCCCCATCCTCCGTCCCCGCCCTGGACATGCATCTTTTCCAAGCGGTGGTATTGGGCTGCAATATACAGTCCAATTACAAAGAGGTATTTTGTGACTATGGTACAATGTAGTGCACAACCCCCCGCTGAGCGGTCAGACCCTGTTCACTTCCGTATTTGTTTGGTTCGTGAGTGGCTGTAGTTATCCTCGGTGTTAGGGGGGG